TCTTCTGGCCCAAACAAGTCAACATCGCCAGAAGAATACTTTTTCGCCATCGCCTTTCTCACTGCTTCATATTGCTTGTTTTTATCAGCATTGAAGTCCACGTTGCGATACTCCATATTAGCTTTGAATTCACCGAGCGCGCAAAGTAGGTCGTCCACCATTCCAATCGTCCACTTAAATTTCATGGCCGCCATGTTTGCATGAAATTGAGACCATTGCGCATGAGCATTGTATTACCCGCTGAACTCTCGCTCGTTTAATAAGCCCGGCTGACTCGGTAAACGCGATCATATGAAAACATTTCAGCCCGGTTAGCCGGGATCCCGGCACCGCGATACCAGGATCTCGGCTCACCGGGCCGGCCCGATTGTCATGTAATCGTGAGGTTGATTTTTGTTGCGTTTGACAAATGTGATGATATCCCGGCAAACTGACAATAGCCCGGCTAACCGAGCCAGCCCGGCTCATGTAATCAGGCCCTTGTTGATTCTTCTGTAAACTGCTGTAAAACATGATAAGTTAACACTTTTAAATCACTGTACGGAATTAGTGTCAATCAAGAGTCTTGTAACTAAATATTTCTGTCGTCAAAAGGTCACGCCTATTTGCTAAACGAAACAATCTTCATATTAAATAATTACTTTAACTAGCCAACATTTATACTTGTTGTTTCATTTGCGCCTTTCTTCGTCATTTTTGTTGCCGCTTTGTTGCCACCTCGTTGTTGCTTGCATAATTTATCGATGTACTAGGCCTGTTTTCTCGTTTTTCGCACTAACTGCACTTTAGTGACGTCAGTAATACGGTAACGTCAGCGGTTATCTTGCTTTTTTTCTGTGGCCGTAACAATACAAATATCTTATACTTCTCTTACCGTCGTGTTGTTCGTTATTTCTCTATATCGTACATTGTGCAATCAGTGTAATTGTTTGTTATTAGAGTTTCAACCTACGTCAGTTAAGCAGGAATTAAAAGTGAACTGTATTTATCTACGAGATATAGAGTTGTCTATTTCGAAGCAACAGATTTCGCATAGTTGCAGTTTCATAAAGGTTTCAACGTGTCAATCAGCTATGATCGGACACTTGGACGTTATCGACTGATGTTTCGAGTTTAGTTGGAGGCATCAGGATAAATTTAAGCCAAGGGAAAGCACAGAAATTAGCTCGAGTAAACAGGGAGTTCATATTAAACCAAGTTCGTTTATCTTCTAGTAAATAACTAAAAAAATGAGGTCAAATCCAAGAGAAATCAGTTCTTGTTCGGGTTAGTGGGGTTCTGCTGTAGGAGGACATAAAGTCTGAAACTGACAAACAAGGTATTTTTAAATTTTTCAAAGTACAGTTTGTTTGTTTTTGAATTTCTTTGAATTTGTTCATTTCTCCTGGGAAGATTGCTGGTCCTAAGGAAAACTCGATTTTCTATTTTCATAGTGAACAATGTGAATTATGAACAACTTGAAGAAACGAAAAGAGTTGTCTTACCCTCATTTGGGGTATGAATATTCCATAAATATTTCTCTGTGCTCTGGAAGTCAAAAATATGACCCTAGAACAATTTTTATTGGAGTGTGCAAAGTAATTCGAGATTGCTTTGGTTTTGCTTTACTTCACTTGACACCGTGATTGGTCCGAAAAACTAGCGCCATATTCTAAACTAATCAGATTCAAAACCTGGATCAATCGCGACCTGGTCAGTCAATCTTTCCCGCGCTTAAAGCAGTTTTTTTCTTCCTGAATAATAACTGTCATGGACGTGAAAGGCTTTTACTTGATGTAGATCATGTTTCCTTAGTTTGTTGACCAATATTTTATACCTTAACTAGATACTCGGTCAATAATTAACATATTTTAAGAAGTGGACATACCTGCCAAAGGAGGCGAATGGTGTCAGAATGTAACGAAGGAAGAAAGATCGTAGAGGTCATATAGTTTACCAGGCTAAACTCGTTCTTCTACTCAAACTTCTTCAAATAGTTAGGACCTTGGGGTAACCAGAAATGGCACGTGCTTCAAGGCAAAATAAATTATCAACGCAGTCACTGTTAGAAAATCTGCCTTTTTTGCAAGCCCTGTTGTTTGTTTCTCCATCCATTTGATTTGTTCTCCCTATATTTTAAAGGAAACCTCCTGGCTCAATCTCTCCTTGTAAACGTTTTTATGGAAGCATTTAGAATTGAATAAGATTTAACAACCAATAGAAAACATTGTTTTAGTTCTGATCGCGTCCGTTTTCTGAATACCTCACTCTGAGCAATGTGCATTATCAATATTTCAGATGAAGGAACAAGAGGAAAGTGTTTCTTTTTTCTCTTAAAAGGCCTCGCTCAATAAAGATGCATTCTGGGAGTGGTGGCCTTTCTCGGTATTTTATGTATTGCAGAAAAGGACAGCCTTCTGTATGTATAATATTGTTGGACTAAATCTTTGCAATCTTGATCGAGAACCGGCTTTTGCGATTGCGACATTGAAGCCATCGATAAAAGGTCGTCCTGCACGATGGAAAGCCACCGTATTATATGGCTGACTAGATCATTTTAAAAGCACTGAATAGGCGAAAGACAGCTTTGGGATTTACCAAGAAAACGAGCAGAGATTCTAAAGAAGACCTGCTACACAGCATTTCGGAGGAAAGTCAATCAGAAAGCTTCACTCGACTCCTGGGTGACCGTCGGACGGGGAAACGTTTACAATCATCTCTCGCCTAATCCCATGTAAGTTCTTGAGTGACCTTTCACTCCCAGTGAGATCAAACTCAGCGATACATTTCTCCTAAATTTCACCTTAATATCCTCTATGATTTATTCGTATTTTGAAACACTGTGAGCATTTATTCAACGTGGAGCGTGACGAATTCATTCTTAGGAGGCGTAGCGTCTCTCCATTTACAAGTCCTCGCTTTTCCCGTGATGAAAGACACGCACGACTTTGTTATCCTCATCAATTTCTCACTTAAATGCCGTCGTTTATTTTGTCAAAGACATGTCACGAGACACAACGAAGGGTGATAAGAAAATAACTGCCTTGAGCTGTCTCGAAAAAGGAGTTTAAAAAATCAAAGCGTGGTATTGTTTACGATGAAAGTAGAAGTAGAACGTGGGGCAATATCAACTTAATAACATGTAGGTGATCGTGGGCAAAACTAAAATCAAGAATTTGAAAAATATTTCAATGAGAATCTACGGGCATGTTGGCAAGGATGCACTTCTTGAACACATGATCTACGGTTCAATTAAATTTTCCCGAGAGGCAAGGTTAGTATTAACAACATTCAAACGCTTGCTCTCGAGACGCCGAAAGGTCTGAGACGGTGGAGATAAAAACAGAAAACAAAGCTGCCTTGGTACTTGGTATGTCTCCCTTAGTCCGACTTCTGCAGAATGAATCATCAAAATGGGGTGAGACAATGATAAAAAGTGGTAATGTCAACTAACAAGATTAAAGACTAATCAGCTTAATATACCACCCTTCTAATCAAAGCACTGGAGTAGACAGCTCGATTGCTAAAGAGCAGTCAGTCAGTAGCTGTGTATATGAAAATGATATAAAAATTAGTGGGTTTATATTGCATTGGAATTATGGTACTTATGGTTGCAAAGCGAGCATAAGCTGGGAAAGAGAAATACACTAATCAACTGGATTTTCTTAATTCTTATCCTTTGATACTAAATGTCATCTTAGTTTATGGTTTCCTTGAAATGTGCAATTAGATTTGCTCACATTAATCTTCTTCTCGTTTTGTCTCTTTTTTTCTCGGTAAGACTTTTCTGCGCGTTTGCCTTTGTCTCCCTGAAAGTTGTCTGATCCGAGCTAGCAATTTTGGAGCAATGGATGGAGTAAACAAAACGGGTTTGGCTTATATAAGTTTATTGAAGCATTTATAGAGTGTGTTACAACAAGTTAATTATTTTTAGTAGCTAGGGTCAATAATGGTGGTGGCTTGAGAGATATCAATATCTATTTATTTGCCTTCCATAACGGTCATTTTGAGTTCTTAACAGTAACTTTGCTTCGAGACGAAGAAACCAATAGCATTTTTCTTCTCTGTATTACACTCAAAAAAATTAGGAAATACTACTTATACTTAGAAAACAGTCACAAATTCGCTAAGCATGTCTGACTTAATCAGTTATAGAAATCATCTAAACAGCGATGCCCTTTTTTGTATCTTTTTGTCTCTATCAGTCTACAGTCGATAACAGAAAAAGCACTCACGGGTGCAACAAGTGAATAAACGCTAAACTAAGAGGTGTGAAAGTGAAGTAAATACGCAAATTTTCTTTCAAGGAAACTTTCACTTAATCTCCATCTACAAACTATAAAAATGATTATCATTACTAACAAAGCAGTATAATTGTAAGATGAACATTACTTCTTAAAATCAGGAGCTACAAAAAGGTACGCCTAAGGTTCTCGAAATCTACACCACAAATTACCACTGAGCAAAACCAGTGATAACTAAAACAGCTCATACCCTCTTCTCTTTAGCTTCCCGTCTTCATTTAACAATGCAGCCGTAGTATATATAATTAGATTATTTTACTCTACTTCTTTTCTCCTTTTTCTTCCTTTCTTTTCTTCTCCTTTTTTTTCTCCTTTTTTCTCTTTATCATAAATTCTAAATGTTGTATATTATCGCGCTGTATCAATAAGTCTACTATTCATTCTATATATTTATATTAAGAACTATTCTCTTAAAGCCTAATTTATTACTACCTCACACTTATATCTTGGACCTCTTTAAATACTTAAATGGGACAGTGACCAACACGAAAGCTACGGCTACTTTGGTCACTGTGCACACATATAGAAACCTGCATGATATCTACTTCTCATTATCTTCTTCACCTAGTTATATAAGTCGTCTTATACTGTATTAATTTACTGTATTATACTGTATTAATTTGAATAGCGCGATATAAACTTGGAAACTTGGAAACTAGGAAACTTAAGCAATAAACGACTACAACATTGGAGGTTCAGCAATTCTGGTATCATGCCTCAGTCCTGCACAAAAGGAGTTGCTTCGGATGACTCCTCGTCTTCGTCATCTCCGGTTTCGTCTGTATCCACGGCCGTTAGTTGATAACCATTACTCTCTTGCACACCAACCACTTCATCACAAAGGTCTACAGCATCACCTTGGTCCTCCT